AATTTGCACTGATAACGACTTAATGCTTCACCTTTTAAACTGTCTTGATAATTGTAACATCTGATTACTATCAAGACTAATCTCGGATTTGTTAATTAACCTTGTTTATATAGATATCTTACGTATGATGCCCCATTACTTCTACTGGTATCTATGGTATGGCTTCACCCCTCAAATATGGCGGAATCGGTAACAAACCGGTAGTGACATCACGACGAATTTAAGTATTGTTAATTATGTAATTTCGTCAAAAAATAGTTCTTACATTATTAATGAATTTTAGCTATATGTAAAACAATGCATTTTGAGAGTCCTGTAGCAGGTTTTTTGAAAAGGACTATTTGACTTATGACATTCTGCAGCGTAAATGTTTTCACATATTATGAATTATAATTTTAATTAAAGCTGAAATGATACAGATATACAGCTTTCATAGAGATAATACCACCATGGACACACTGTACTGTATCTATAGATTAAACAATTTTTAACGAAACATAAAATATTTACGAAATAATTGTAACACTCGTGTTCCGATAAATTTTTAAAACTTATCTGAAACAGCTGATACCATGACAATTCTTCAACAGCATAACAAAAATCACCTATGGAAGAAGTACTTCTATAGACCAGAATTTCATTATAAACATTTAAAACTCGCCAATAAGTTCTTATTTATACACGCGTTTAAGTAATTGATGAGTATAATGAATTCTCACTGTCTGCCGTTGCAATGTGTTATCCGTTTAGGTACCGCCCATTCAATCGAGACAAAAACGGTTAAAATATTAATATTGCTATCAGTGACCCAAACGGGAAAATTTATGGAGACAAGGTCAGCGTTAGAAATAGTATGCGATTTCCTTCACATGAGTTCTAGATATAAATATCGATCAAGTGAAATTGTATTGCCCGTTATTAATGATGTTCGCTTCTCTGTTCTAAATTAACAAACTTTTAAAAAGACAATGTTATAAATTGAAAGTATTTCTATAACGGAAGAAGAAAAGCAAGATCCATATTTTTTTTTTAGATATATGCTATTGAAAATTTGGCGCGACATGACTCTGGATATTTCATTTAGTGAATATTGGCTCTACGGACAGACGGACAGACGGACAACGGTATATCATAATATGTCCGGAAACGGGCGTGTAAAAATCATCATTTACGGAATATAATGGCAAACAATAGTGAATTATCTCTTCCTAATAATTACCAGATAACACCGCTGTTCCCGGTCCAGCATCTGTTTGTTTACAAATTGATGCACGTGTTAACGCTATGGAATCCACCTACGAAAAATACGCAAGATTTACAATTCCTGCTTTAAAAAAAGAATTAAAAAAAGAAATGCAAGATATCAGGACGAAAGAAAGAATTAATTGAACGGTGTGTAATGTATTCGATCTAATTTTGTAATAAAAGTACAATATATGCGTATCTTACTTCGGACGCCGGTCGTAAACAATGAAGTCAGAAATTGTAAATAAAATTTTTTTAACGATAATTTTCATCATAATAGCGGACTTGTTTCGTTTAAAATGTCTATTATTTTAACAATATATTATTAAGGAGTTAAAAAAAATTACTGTCAAAAAATGATGTGATTGACATCGTTTTCGTTCTTGTCTCTCATAATTTTGGAAGTTAAAAATTATGCCGACGTGAAAAAGATGGTAGTAATGCCGTTGGGGGAAAAAAGACTTAATTTTTTATAATGAAAGGACTATTCGTTACTTTCGACTATCATTTGACTGTGACAATACATATATTGCATCCAGTTGCCATGCACAATATAAGAAAACAATATCCTATGAAATTGACATTCTTTTGGACAAGGCAGGTATCATCATTGAAGCTCAGTGTGAATGTTCTGCCGGTGAAGGACATAATGCCCATTGTAAACATGTTTGCACTGTTATGTATGGCGCCATCATGTTCATGGAGTATAAATCAGTCAAAGTGGAAGAAACTTGCACACAAAAACTTCCGAGTTTCCATAAATGCCAAAGGTTTTGAGGTAGTCCATTAAAATCTCAAAATTTATACATGCCAGGTGCTGATGAATTTACAAATATGGACTTTGATCCCAGACCTGAAAACTTTAGGAATGTGCCTGCATGCGTACCAAGATTTTTTCAGGAATTTCTGAAATGCCTATTTTTTAAACATTTGAGCCTGCTAATACATTTGCTGTTGCGCATGACCATGATTATCTTACATTAACGCCAGAAGATAATTTCTTACAAAAAAATTCAGTTCAAAATATAACGGAATAAAAAAAATAGTGCAATTGAAGAGAGAACAAGGGGTCAAGCAAATAATATAACTTGGAAAGAAGAAAGAACAAAGCGACTTCCTTCTTTAAAATTTGGTAGGAACTGCAAAGCTACAGAACGAACTGATATGTTCAAGTTGGCAAAATCGTTACTTATAGTGACAGACATAAAAACTGCACCATTAGAACATGGTAGAAAACATGAATCTGTTACTATAAATTGCTATATGGAAGACACTGGTAATGCTGTAAAGCCCTGTGGGTTAATGGTGTCTTTAGAAATTCCACACATTGCATCAAAACCGGATGGCGTAGTCACAAAAGACTCGATAGTTGAAGTAAAATGTCCTTATGTTAACAGAACAAAACCTGTAAATAAAAAAAAACTACCATTTCTTTATGTTGATGAACACCAGTGAACACCAGAAATATTACCTAGACTGCAATAATGACTATTATTACCAAATTCAAGATCAGCTTTTGTGTACAGGGGCTTAGGAATGCACACTTGTTGTCTGTCATGCTGAGAAATTAAAAGTCAATGACATAAAGTATATCCAAGTTTGCAGAGATGACAAATTTATTTCAGAAATGATTAGCAAACTTAATAAGTTGTTGAATGAGTATTTTAAGCCAGCATTACTTGCAAAAATGTTTTATAGACCATGTTATGCTTGAAATAAATTTATGAATAAAAAAAAGAGTTATTTAATAAGAAAAAAAATACATCTTGTTGTTTGGTCATTGTCATATAGTTGTCTCATTGGCATTTTAACCACATCTCCCTATTTGAAGACAATGTCATATATAATAGAAGAAAATGATTCAACCCAAAAACAAAACTTTAAGTCACAAGCTTTTTTTAAATTCGTTACACAATATGGGTTTTTCTCATTGTTGGAGGCTGTATGGTTACCTGTAACTGCTTACATGTACACCCATTTCATATGCACTTTGGTTTGATAGTCGTCTCATTGGATATCACACCATGATGCCACATCTCCTTATTTTTATATGTAGTGTAGTACAAATAATGTTTTATTGCTTAGATATCAATATTCACAATTGTCAAGGAAATATTGTCTACATTTTCAATTTGTACATAGATTGGATAAAATTGTAAAAAAAAGTTCTTTTCTAAATGTAACACGAGTTCTGCTGATGAATCAACAACCGAATTGGATATAAATCCTTTCTATTGTTGGATCGCTAGAGGGCGCTGCATGGGTACTGCAGTGTATCCACCAATAAAACCGGTGGGCGTGTTTATTTCTATCTTTTTTTATTTTATTTTAAGTGAAATTCATACTCTGACCCTGATTAGTTTTTTGTATATCAATTTTTTGGTTTGAAATCATTTATTCATTGTTGGCCAAAATTCAACAATTATTAATTTTAAGGTTCTAGTTTCATCTGAATTTTTTTATTTAAATTTTTACCTTAGAAAAAAGGCTATCATGTCATAAAATGTAACCTTTTCTTCGCAGGTCATTTAAAAAACCCTGATAGTTTGCTATTTACATACTGTCTAGAAAAAAATTTATGAGCAGCATTCAACCACAGAATCTCTAGCATATTTGTTAATTCTCCCCTTTTGACAATTAAATTTAATGAATATATTATTTGCTAGCCTTTGCATGTTTGAAAATTTAATTGTCTGGAGTTTAGGGAAGTTCCTCACAAAGCAATTTCTCTCTTATAAGATTTATAAATTTGGAAGTTTTTATAACCCTGGAAGTACATGAACAAATGCAATATTCAATCATTTCATATCTATTTTTGTGTGATCAAAATTTAAATGGATATTAATTATTGACTAACAATTTAAGGAAACAACGAAATATTTTAAACTGTAATCATGCATTACTCAGATTACTGTTCAGTTTTACTGAATAACTTGCACTTCCTTCGTTGCGTGGACCTAGTTATCTCCCTTTGATCCCCGCTTCGCCACGAATAAGCTGACACAATTGCGTATCCGGGGAATTTATGATCTATAATTAATATATAAGATCCAGAAAATGGTTTTACTTCATATTTTATACCCCTCCATACGTTACCAAACACATTTAAGAAATGATTTGGGATTTTCCGTAGACCTACGCAAATTTTCCAAAAAAAATTTCAACTTCCATCGTTGTTTTAGAATACTTTTATAACACCTTTCATAAATAAGTATACATAATAATGAAGCTTATTCACTCAAGATTTGGACCCTACAAGTTTTATTTATGTACAAGTTACAATTAGACGATACGAGGTAAAAAACCAAGAGGTGTACACGTTCACAAGAAAACGGTAAACTCTGACCTTTTACCACGTGACCAATGTCTTGAACTTAGACGCCATTAAATCGTTTGCCGTTCAACTGAATGACAATATCATATTGATGTATTTGGTGAATTCAAGGATTATGTAATATTATTTATTATACTGCATGTCAAAATGCCAGATTTTGATTGGTTAATACGAGGGAGACAATTTACTCTATCCCATGGCAAATACTCTATTACCCTTCACGGAGACGCTTCCTCAAGTGTGCGCTTCAATAAATACGGATGATTGTTATGTACAAGACGACATAGTCTATTACTTTGAATTTGAAATTTAATAGACAGTAATAACAGAACATTCAGTATAATAAATTGAATAACACATATCTGAGAGGGCGATAGAGCAAATTGTTACCCCTCGAAAAGACATTATCAACCGTGGCCTCGCCTCAGTTGACAATGTTTTCTCGGGGTAACAATCTGCTCTATCACCCTCTCAGCTATGTGTTATTTATATAACAGTAAATTTAAATATTGGTGCTTGCATTTAATACTGCAAATCACTGATTAATAATGTAAAGGGAGATCTAATTATTTTATTAATTTTGTTTTTGCAAACTTGATACTGTAGAGCTTTTGCATCGCAATAATTTCTTACACTATATTTTATATATTCATGTTGTTTTTAAAGTACCCACGGATTTGTTTCCGCGAAAAAATCTACTTTTCCCTGTTAAAAAATTAAAATAATGAACACAACAGTTTTGATGGAAATGTTGTTTCTTCTTCGTCGAAGTCTATTTTTGAAAACAAAATGCAATCAAAGCATACACTAGTTGTTTTAACTGTTATATAACTGACATTCTTCCCAGTCTTGTTTACAAATTATGCTAAATTAGAAATTTCAGTATATTGTAAGTTACTCTCAAACTATTTGATTGAATGGTCTGTATTGTTTTATTTCATCAACTATGGCTTTATGTCCTTTTATTTCAGCAATAGCGAGAGGAGATTTTCCCAAATTATCACAGATATCGACAGATGCTCCGTGTTCGAGTAGAATATCTAAAATGTCAATATATCCATTAATACTTGATTTAAATAGCGGAGTCTGTCTGAGATTGTCTTGCGCGTTTACATTCGCCTTATGTTCTATCAATATCAATACTACATTTGAATGATGAAACATGCATGCTGTATGAAGAGGAGTTATCATATTCTTATCTGCTAAATTTATGTCAGCTCCGTATGTTAACAATAATTCGACCAAATCTACATTTCCGGTTTTACAAGCAAATGCAAGAGATGAACAATTGTCTTTATCACAGTGATTAACATTTGCCTTTGAACGCAACAATATATCGACCACACCCGTTTTATTCTCTTTACAGGCAACCATCAATGGGCTAATTTTATCTTCATCACATATATTCACATTTGCTCCATGTTGCAGTAACAAATCAACTACTGTATGAAAACCCCTGGCACAACTAAATAAAAGTGCCGTCCAGCCATATTTATTTGCATCATTAACATTGGCTTTGTTATCCAACAGTATTTTAGCAACGATAACACGCTCGTTCATGCATGCTTGATGAAGGGGTGTTAAACCATCCTTTGTTTTGTGGTTAACTGACGCTTTGGCTGCAATTAAGATGTTCGTTATACTCTCATTGCCAATTTTGCATGCCTCATGTAATGGTACTATGCTTGGTTTCGAACTGTTAACTGTAGTACCTTTCTCTAAAAGTATTTTCACTATGCCAATACTTCCAGATTGACAAGCAGCATGTATCGGTCTCAATCCATTTATTGTTTTCTGATTGATCTCGGCATTTTTCTCAATCAGGAGTTGAAGAACCCTTTCGTTTTTTGTACCACAAGCTAAATACACAGGACTTCTACCAAGTGAATCTATTGCATTGATGTTTGCATTCATATCAAGTAACGATTTAGCTACAGCACTGTTGCTCGCGTAATGTAACGGTGTACACCCGCTTCGGTCTAGTGCATCTACATCTGCTTTCTTTTCAAGCAATAAAAGCACAAGATTTGTAAAACCTTTTGCACTAACTATGTGAAGAACGGTTCCATTATTCTTTGTTTGATATTTTTCATTTACGTTTATCGATTTAGCCGAATGATGTAACAAGTACTTGGCGACTTGCATAGCATTATTTTCACATGCATAAACAAATGGCTTCGATCCCTCTTTGTTTGCCATGTCAATGATAGATTTTTTCACGACAAGATATTTAACAATTTTGTTATGTCCTTTCCTGCATGCTAAATGTAAAGGTATGTTGCCATCACTGTCCTTTTGATTAATCATTGCATTATCTTTTAGGAAAAATGAAACGTAATTCTCGTATCCTAGATCAGACACAATGTGAAGATGCGTCAACCCATCTTGCATTATGTCCCAAGTATCACGTGTTAAATATTTTTTCATGTATTTGAGAAACTTAAGCCTGAATTCGCAAAATTTGTTTTGCTCATGTTCGAAAATAGATTTATTCCACCCTTTACCTAATTCATAAACAAGCCGTCTGAAATATGCATCTTCATTTTCTGCCGTAACCTCAATAATAAATGCATCTCGTTTTTCATATATACAATCTAACCGAAACTGATTTAATATCACTTCAGTTTCACAATACTTTATTACTGATTTCATTAATGTTTTTGCAATGCAACGAAGGACGATTTTTTGCAAAGTTTCATGGGTAAGCATGAATTTATCCTTAGTTTCTCTTACGTATGTTCCAGTGAGGGCAACTAATGTAGACTTCAGAGAATTTTTTGATGGATATTGAAGAAAAGCCGATTCATGAAACACATCCTGAAACAAATCATCATATTCATGGTTGTCTATAGAAAATGAGTTCTTTGATATCGTCTGCTTGATTGCAAGAATAGCCAATGCAATGAAGCTTACTTGTGATTTGGTCTTGAAATTATCTATTTCTTTCTCAATTATCGGATAAGGAGCTGTAAAGAAATCTTCAACTGGAATATTTTGTAATGATGTATATGAGGAGCATAAAGATGGAAAAAAACTATACATCAAAATGGTTTCTTCTTTTAAAGTTTTTATATCAACTGGGTTTAAATAAGAGTGACATATACCCCACCTCTCAGTTAGTAATAGACTTATCTCATCAGATAATAAATCACACGTATACGCACTCAAACTTAAGCATGTATAACATTCTGGTTGCCATATATATGTTCTGCTTGTAAGAATAAGTTTTGTGTTCTCGTTATTGCTAAAAATCATATTGAGCAATGGCCCATTTTTTTCCCATAAAACTACATCTGTTTCATCAACAGCATACTTTCCGATAAAATCATCGATAATGAAAATTTGTTTTGTGCCTGGTATATGATAATTTGTTATATCTACTGATTGTCTGGCAGGAATGATTGTATAACCGCTGTCTTCCTTTAATCTGAATGCTGCATAATAAGCAATTGCCGATTTACCTGCACCAGTGGGTCCTGCTATAACAATTACTTTTTGCGTCAGGTATTTATGTATATGAACTCTGTGGCTCTTGTTTTAATAATCTTTTTAAGTTTCCCTGCCCAGTCTTGAAGGATTTCATTTTGAAATTCTATAAAGAAAATGTGAAAATGTACAAAGGATTACATAAATATAAAAGGAATAATTAAAATAAGCATATCAACAATTACATTAATCTTAATATAAACATATTTTAAGAGAAACATAAGTAACCGATTTAGCAATCAAAACCAATAAAATGAAGAGGAACAATAAATTGTATGACAAAAATGACTAGCAACAGGCATACAACTGAACCTAAATAAAACTCAGGGATTGAACTCAGTTGGTCGAGATGGTAATACAGTCTTGCTTAGTTCAATCCATTGGAACCAACAAACGACTGTTACGACTGTTACAAAGGAAGAAGGTTATTATAAAAGTTTGTGTTTTCCTATGGCAAATTTGATATATATTCAGGCCGAAACTATGTTAATATGATATAAATATGAACGCTGCTATTTAATAGATATTTACGCTGAGCCGGTTTTCAAAAACTTGCCAGTTAATCATTGTCAGAAAGACACGTAAACAAACCTAGACACATTATTTTGTTTTCATGCCGATCACACTTTTACTTTTTTGCTGATGCAATATGTATTTTTTGGATATAAATTTTCCAAAGAAGCATCCCACATTGTTGAATTTGAAAATAGTATCAAACTACGATTTCAAATACCTGCTTTTTAAACGATTATAAGGGGCTATTCTGCAATTGCAATACTATCTGTTTCATTGTTTGACATGATGTAAGTATTAATTCTTTTATTCATCTACAAATTACATGTGTATAAAAGACATGAACATGATCTTTTTCTGAGCCGTGTTTAAGGTTTTTATTTGGGGATTTCATACTGATACCTTTTACGTGCGACGGAACTTTTAATAAATCATTTTCCAGCTTGCTGAATTTGTCTTTCAAAATCTGTTTGTCACATTCCATAGCATCAATTTTTCTTTCAAAGCCATTTTTTTCTTTAGCCATATAAGTAGCAATTTTATCGTCAAGTTCACCTCTATCTTTAATTTGAATTTGAACTAATTCTGAAAAGAAATACAACTATTGACATGAAGCTACCTAATTTTTCATTTTTGTTTTTCGTTGTTCACTAGCTGTATGGATGGTTGAAATTCCTCTGTTGTAATCAAAATGCACATTTCAAAACCTTAAAATGTACATGGGTTTTAAAATATATATATATATAGGACAATGCATATTGTATTGATTTATTGTTCTCTGGTGATACATATTTCATGAATATTCAGGACGACCAGAATAACATATATGGTACTTATATGTAGAGTGTAGTTTCCTGTTTTTGACATGTTTGATTTGGACGATAGAATGGACACTTATTTTACATAAACGCAACATGCATGCTTTAACATATATATATTATATCTATTTAAGTCTATTGAAAGCAACCAACCAGCAAATTAATACATATATGTAACGATTCAGCTCAAACCAACTACATGATAAGTCATACGATTGGTGCAACTACATGTATACTGATAAAAGATAAAATATACAAACAAGATGAAGTTGCTTTGACATATATATCGGGTCAATAAATGGCCTTCATCAGTGTCAGTCCCTTTTTAAAATGTGATCACACAATGTCATTAAACGATGCATAATCTTGTACTGCATTTCTATTGAAAAATAGATGATAATTATATGAAAAGATTATTCAATTTGACCTATTCAGGCGGCTCATTTTTGTACTCTTTTGGAATGAACCAGATAACTTCTTTGCCTTAGAACGTATGACCCAAACAAAGTTTCAATAGTGCGATTTCCCTCATTCTCCTTCCTTCCGCCCATTTTGCTTTTGTTTGTTCCATAGAACAATACGATTTCATTTCATATTGTTCGTATATTTTTATCTTTTATCAGTATTGGTGTACAATTTTACGACTTTTATATATGTATATATAGTTTGGTCTTTTATATTAGCAAAAGGGACAAAGATTACAAAAAGAAACTTTCAGTTGAGTGTGTAAATATTTCGATCAGTATTTAAAAAAGAGTGTATTTCGGTTATGCATATCTATGTTCAACTGTGTGATTGTACAAACCTGATGAAAAATACTCCGATGCAAGAAAACAATATCCCAATATAGTGACTGAAAAAAATAATAAATAAAAGAAGATAATTTATGCGAGTTAGAACATACAATCAAATCTGGGATAATAAACAATACTCATAGATCCATAAAGTAAAGTTTAATGATTCCAAATATTTATTTTCATCTACAAAGACAGTCGTTTTGATATAATAATTTTTCTAATGTATTACCTGATAATTTGAAATGTCCTTAACAGGACTACATCCCTAAAACATAAGTATAAACGGGAGCTATAAACAAAAAGTGTATTGGCATAATGTATCATTTTATTTCCGCTAGCGTTGAATGCTGACTACGAATGATATTCTTGGGGTTTTACACACCATCAGCAGCTACTCCACCTAGTTTATATAGTAATAAAAAGAAATTATTTCGGTATGTATAACCCATACTTTTGCACAAAGCTTATAAGTTCTTTCATTTAATTTTGAGACGAAAAATAAATAAAACTAGCTATATATACTATAGAAACAAACTAAAGGCTCTAAAGCCATGTCCTGTGTCACTCACCTAGGTCTATGTGCATTTTCATCAACACTCTCCAACATTGTGGACTAGAATAGAATTCATGACAAAAAAAATCTTTTTTGTTGCTCTTGTATTATTGATAAAAAAAAAAAAATCTGTTTACAGCTTCTCTCTATCTTCTTTCGTTTTTGCCCCAAAACATTAAAAAAACATTTGTTTTAATTATTTAAGGACATATACTCCTATAAGAGTCAACTATTGATTTTGGCAAAATTTGACTTATTTGCAAGAGCAACAACTACAGCAAGGAGTCGATTGACAATTTAGCCATGTTGAATAATTTGTAGATCTTAATTTGTCGATCATTTTTGCTTTTTAAAGTGTCTATCACATTTTATCTATATAAAACAGTATTCAAGATAATAGGCAAAACCACTAGGAATGCATAAAAATCGTCTTTAAAGTGCACTATTCCCAATAAGGAACCAACAGACAATTTCTGCCATTAAATCATGCTGATCATTTTTGCTTATTTAACTTTTTAATATCTCTATAATTGTAGTTTTTAAGATATTAGACAAAGATGCGAAAAATTTGTAAAAACCGTCACTAAGAGGTAATAAATCTATTAAAGTGTCATCGAATGATTTCGGCAATGTTCACTTATTTTTAGGTCTTGTCTTGTTTCATTTTTTGTTTTTTTTTAAGTGTCTATCTATCTACTATAGTTTTAAAGATAATAGATAAAAGCACTAAAAATTGTTCAAAATTGTCACTTAAGAGCAATAACTCTAATAAGGAGTGATCGGAAGATTTGAGGCATTTGACGTATATCAATCGTGTCGTGTAATTTTTAAGATATAAGGCAAACACGCTTAAAAAAGGAAAAATCGTTATTAAAGGGCAATAACTCACTTAAGGATTCGTCGGATAATTGCGCCATTTGATTTATTTGTAGATTTTGTCTTGCTGGTGATTTTTGTTAATCACAGTTTCTCTCTACATTGCTCTTAAAGCTATTAAAGTTTTCAAGATACTTAGTAAAAATTTTAAAAAAATGTAAAATTCGTCATTTAAGGGCAAAAACTCCTATAAGAAGTCGTCTGACAGTTTTGTTGAGGATAGACAAAATGTAGATCTCAACATTTTGAACAGTCTTCCATTTTTTAAGATAAATGACAAAATTTGCATTTTACCCCTATGTTCTATGTTTAGCCATATCAGCCATGCCGATTGGAAGGCGGTATAATCGGAAACAGTTTTCAAACTACATACCCCAATTATGATTGAAGCCAAGTTTTGTTGAATTTGGCCCATCAGTTTCAGAGGAGAAGATTTTTTGTAAATGTTAACGAACGTATACGGACGCCGAAGACGACGACGACGGACGCCGAAGACAACGACGACAGACGATGGACTCCATGTGATGAGAAAAGCTTACTTTGCCCTTTGTGCAAGGCGGGCTAAAACGGAACAAACAACAAGCTAGATGAAACACATTAACTGTAATGACCGAGTCATTATTTTTCCTTCAAGCAGTGAAATTGATATCAAGATTTTTTTCTCCAATGCTTCATTTCCGCAAGATATCAGAAGATATACTTCGTAACCAATGTTATGAAGTGTGAATTATTGCTACCAAATTTGAGGTTAAAAGCTAAGGTTTGAAATTTATAAAAGAAAAATGTTCAGCATACTCTTCTACTAATACCATGCATACTGAATATTATAAGTTTTTTTTTAAACTTTATTCCTTATTATTTAGTGCAATTCAGAGACACAATCCTTGAAAGGAAACGCCAACAGTCCATGTAGTATAACGTTAAAGTGTTGTTTTTTAAATAGATGTGTATCAACCAGTATAGATTCAAAATATTTATGTCAAATTTAAGCAATCAAAATGTAAATTGGTGCCAATCTATCTAGTGTTTAAGGATAAATTAACTTACTTATTATAGACAAGGTCAGCGACAAAACTGCAACACACGCTCCCTTTCTATACTTTTCAATCTCATAGTTCACTGAAATAAATTAAAAAAAAGAGTGACCACGCTGAAATTTCTCGCCTACTTTCCTTACTGTGACTGATTTTATGTTGATAGTCCTAAAGTCAAGTTTACTACAAGTATTACATAAATTTCACATCATCAATGATCTATGAAAATGAGTTCAAGGTCAGATTAACCAAGTCAAACAGACATGTTCACCTTACAATCATTCCATACACCAAATAAGTTGACCTTTCCTTTTTGTATTTAAGAAACAGTCTTCACGAAGAAAACGTATCATTAACAATAGAACCATGAAAATAAGGTCAAGGTCAGATGAAGCATGACAGACAGACATGTACACATAACAAACATTTCATACACCAAATATAATAGTTGACATATTGCTTATAGTATAAGAAAACAGAACAAAACACACACAAAAAACATTGACCGATAAACCGTGAAAATGAGGTCAAGATCAGATGACACCAGCCAGATTAACATGTACCTCTTGCAATCATTCCATACACCAAATATAGTTAACCTACTGCGTATTTTAGAAACGGAACCAATCACGTAGCGATAACCTTAATTTTTTTATTATAAAATAATGTCAAGGTCAGGTGAACCTTGACTGACTGTCATGAAGACTTTTTGGGGAACCCATATACCAACATAGTAATCTTATTACTCATAACTGCCGAGAAATTCACAAAAGTCATGACAAAAAACTAAACGTTTTATTTTTTTGTAAGCAGTCACTGAGCCATGGATGTCAAAGTTTAGGACAACAATGAAGCATTCTCAAATGCTAACCGTGTTTCTGCGGGAGAGACAAATATATCATCATGATCATCTACTGGCCTACTGCGGGAAGAACATATATGTCATATGAGTATAGAAATAAGTTTGTGTTCTATTTATTCATATTGTTTTCTTAAATATTCTTTCCTCAATTTATTGCAAACCTTTTATAAATTTTGATAATAAGATTATTTCTAATGATTCCTATCAACTTTAACTCAATAATTTTAAAACTTCTAAAATAAATATTGCGTCTTCCTTGTAAATTACATTTTACTGTGGATTGTTGTAACGGAATTAATTTATTGTTTTGTTCCTAGCTAGCTGACATGCATTTTCAGATTTGTCTTACTCCTGAAGAACATGTATATACATGATTTTGGTAAATATGAGACTCAGTTTGGAGCATCAAAGAACACCCCGGTTTTTGGTGGGGTTCGCGTTGCTCAGTCTTTACAATGTTGCACTGTTGGTTATTTTCGTCTTATTACTTTTGTTGCGATGGAATTTTCAGTTTGTTTGTGACTTATTTGTTATCTACGCCTCTCTTTTATATTCATGAATAATCAACATTTGCATGTTTTAAATTTTGCTGGGCGTCTGTCTCTAATTGTCAAATACAAAATATAAAAAAGCCCATTACACAAGTGACAAAAGGTTTCATACAACAGGAAGATAAGTCACCCTACCCGCATATATTATTCTGACTCTCAGTTGCCTAATCTTCTCTTCAGCTTAGCACAGACAAAAAAGATATAAGTTTCAAGTCTTTGGTTTAAACTGCTGGGAACCAAGCTCCTGACCTCATGCACTTGAGCGATGAACAGACTTCCGCCTATGACCTTAAGCTTTTCGCATCTTGGTATAGTGATGATATATTGCTATAGGATGTAATACTATTTCAAATGATTTTCTTTTTAGATTGTGTTATTGATATGATGCTGTAATTTCTAGAAAAAAGATGGAATTTAATAAATCCCCTTTAACCAGGATGATATTTGAAAGTTGTGGGGAGATCATTGATGAGCACACAAGACCTCTGAGATGATATTAATTTTTAATTTTATACTTCTTTCTTGTTATTTCCAAAGTTAGTGATCAGTGATTTTAAATATCAGATGCATGTAATAAAAATAAGTAGATGTAGGCAATACACAATAAAACAATGACTTACTGTCTTAGTTACATGTAGTTGTCAGGGAATGACACATGCTTTAGATAACTAGCAAATTTCTTAGGATGATCGATACCTTGAAAAACTTGCATATTTGCTTTGGATTACTTGATTTTACTTAAAATTACTAAAAATAGAAACTTAAAATTACTTGCAATTATATAATTTTAAGATATCTAAAAGCTATCATTTGTCATTGTAATGCATTGTTTATATCATAAACTAGGCCCTACAAAAATTTATACTTATTGACCATCTAATGTTCCAAATTATATCATAAATTGCAGTTTTATACATGTACATTTGACTTTGATCAGCTATTTTTTGAAAAATGAAAAATGGCAGGAACTCATGGTTGGTAGGTTTCATATATCTCGCTACTGTTTGTGTACTAATCTAAATAAATAAAAACTGTTGCAACATAAAAGCAAAAGTGAATAGAAATGGATTAAAAGATAAATGGATATATCAGTCATTTAAAAATAAAGTTCGATTCCAAATCTGAACTTTATAAAAATGAAGTTGATTTAAATCCAAATTATTTCAAAAAACTAATAACACATGGCTTTTTGAACATTTTCCCATGATATGCAATCTTATCGACACATGAGAATGATTTTATATGAAATGTTGTGCTAGCTGGTGTTCGATTTTGTCCATCCTGTTACTTTTTTCAAATGCCAGAAAAAGTGATAAGAAAAAAGAAAATATCTAATCAAAAGTATGGATATAACAGTGTACATTTGAAATCACATCAACATTTATCATTTATTCAGATTACCAAAACTAGAGGCTCTCAAGAGCCTGTGTCGCTCACCTGTATTTACTGATGCTTTGGAAATCATGTAAAATAAGGTTAAAATCATAATTAACAGTATTAGATATTAGATATTATAATGATATCTAAGATAACAACAAAAAACTGCAACATTTTTGTAAAATTACTAACTCAGGGGCAGCAACCCAACAACGGGTTGTCGGATTCGTCTGAAAATATCAGGGCAGATATATCTAAATCTGATGAACATTTTTATCACCTGTCAGATTTGCTTTAAATGCTTTAGTTTCAGAGAAATAAACCAATAAAATGCTTCGCTGGGCGCAGCTTGATACGACCGCAGAGGTCGAACCCTGAACAGTTGGGGCAAGTATGGACACAACACTCAAGCTTGATACAGCTCTGAATTTGGATTGTGATTAAATATTTGACACAGCATAGGTTTCTGACACAGAGAGAAAGTGGTCTAAGAACTTCAATTTTTTTAATTTACCTATTATGGTCCAATGTCCAAAATGAAAATACATGGTTAGATTCAGCATATCAAAGAACCCCATATATTCAATTTTTGTTGAAATCAAACAAAGTTTAATTTTGGATCCCAACTTGGACAAACTTGAAAACTGGTCCCATAATCAAAAATCTAAACACATGTTTAGATTCAGCAGATCAAAGTACCCCAAGAATTCATTTTTGTTAAAATCAAACTAAGTTTAATTTTGGACCCTTTGGACCTTAATGTAGACCAATTTAAAAAACGGGACCCAAAATTAAAAATCTAAAAACACGGTTAGATTTGGCATATCAAAGAACCCCAATAATTCAATTTTTGATGAAATCAAACAAAGTTTAATTTTGGACCCTTTTGACCTCAATATGAACCAATTTGATAGTGGGGTCCACAAATAAAAAATCTAAATACATGGTTAGATTCAGCATATCAAAGAACCCCATATATTCAATTTTTGTTGAAATCAAACAAAGTTTAATTTTGGACCCCAATTTGGACCAACTTGAAAACTGGGCCAAAAATCATAAATCTAAATACATGTTTAGATTCAGCATATCAAAGAACCCCATATATTCAATTTTTGTTAAAATCAAACAAAGTTTAATTTTGGACCCTTTGGACCTTAATGTAGACCAATTTGAAGACTGGACCCAAAATTAAAAATCTAAATACACGGTTAGATTCGGCATAACAAATAAATAAATGTGGTCAAAGATTTTACAAATCTAATGCGCCATACTGGTCTTCCTTTATAAATATGCATTTCTTTAAACATAATTTAAAAGCAGTGTAAGGGAAGTAACCAAAACGTTGTATTTGGATTACCTCCCTTACACTGTTTTAAATTATCTTAATTGTTCATTAACCATTACTTTATACATAATTTAAAAGCAGTGTAAGGGAGATAATTTCAATGATGTATTTGGTTTATCTCCCTTACACTGCTTTAAATTATGTTTTGTACTAAAGTATTTGTCCATTAATGAGGACAACCTTGTTTTTCCCCCTTTTTTGCCCCTAATTCTTAAACGGTTTGAGCAATAACCCCCCCTTTGTGGTATGGAAACTTGTAGTATAATTTCAGAGAGATCCATACACCGTTCCACAGTTATTGTCTGGAAACTAGAAAATGCTTATTTTTGGCCCCTTTTTGGCCCCTAATTCCTTAACTATTGGTACCATAACCCCCAAAATCAATTCCCACCTTCCTTTTGTGGTATTGAACCTTATGGTAAAATTTCATAGAGATCCATTCACTTAAACTAAAGTTAGAGTGCGAAAACTAATGCGTCTTCGGGCGACGACGCCAGACGACGACGACGCCGGACGACGACGACGACGACGACGCCAACGTCATACCAATATACGACCACAAAAAATTTTTTGCGGTCGTATAAAAACTGCATTTTATCCCTATGTTCTACTTTTAACCAAGTCGGCCATGATGGTTGGAAGGCGGGGTCATCGGACAAATTTTTTAAACTAGATATCCTAATAATGATTATGGCCAAGTATGATAAAATTTGTCTCAGTAGTTTCAGAGAAGAAGATTTTTGTAAAAGATTACAAAAATTTGTTAAAAATTGACTATTCAGGGCAATAACTCCTAAAGGGGTCGACTGACAATTTTGGTCAAGTTGACTTATTTGTAGATCTTACTTTGCTGAACATTATTGCTGTTTACAGTTTATCTCTATCTATAATAATATTCAAGATTATAACCAAAAACTGCAAAATTTCCTTAAAATTACCAATTCAGGGGC